AAGAGGGTAAGGTGGTCTTTAATTTGTACTACTCTGGTTATTTCAATTTTCTAAAGGATTGGCTTGACTATTCACCCATTATTTGTTTCATATTCGTTGGTTACTATTATTTAAAATAAAATTGGGATGATTTTTTACCGCGACTTTTTATATACTTAAAAATACAAGAATTTGACACCACTACTAGAAGATTTAAACCCCCGGCAATGACGCCAAAAACTTGATGCAACTTTTAATATGCAAGAATTTATGAACCCGGATTTATATATTTATAAAGATTTTGTAAAGTCACAATTTCAAATGCAAGTATACGTATCGCTCAGTAATACATGGCTCTAGTGGAGTCCCGTTTATTGATCCCACAGGGAAGCGAGGTAAGAGGTCCTTAGTCAAATTCTAATCTACTACTATTAGTCCTTAGTTTAGAATGTCGATTAAAATGATGTTTTATCACAAATAGTTTGGCAAGCTCGTTGAAGGTGTTTGCAGTGCCCCCCGGCAGAGAGTAGAACCAGGTTTGAGCTTATCCCTTAAGAGTGGTTGGGAAAACCTGACATAGAAGCGCGTCAGAGGCACATTGAATGTGCATGATGGTTCGATAAAATGATCAATATGTTCATACAATATGTTCATAGGGTCAGTTATCCCTTCATATGCGTCAATGTTCGGCAACTTGAAGCCTGTTGGGATAAGGTGTTGGAGGACCTCGTTCACTAAGGGAGAGGATCCAAGGATGTTAGGGTGAGTGTGGAAATGATCTTTTTTCCTCTACGAGGAACTCTTGTCGAACGAGGCGACGTAGTTCATTACGGATGACATCATCTGGAATGGTAGTAAGATGTGGTGGTGCTAGGAGAGTTGTATGAGATGGATGAGTGGAACTTGCGGTGTCCAGGAGTTCAACTTCACGTCATGACAAGGGAATTGTTCCCTCTTGAGCAGAGGGGACGGTACGATTTCCTTTGGGTAGTAGGTTTCTTGTTAGTCTCGAATTTAATGGTAAACGAGTTTCGGTCATCGGTGTGGATAGTGGTTGTTGGATCCCTCGTAGGAATTGTATGATCTCCAGTTGGGATTCCTCCATTCTACGTATTCGTTCTTCCATAGAAGGACCCCAAACCCCCTCGTTGATTGGATAACGTCTTCCAGGGCGGGAAGATGAAGAAACGCGTCTCCCTTGACTTCGTGACTGCTCCCTGGAATGATGGGAGTTAGAGCGAGCTACTCCATTGTCCCGAATATTTTATCTGGTGGCCATGTAGAAAATTGAGTAAGTACTTTAGTGGTGGGATTGAGAGCTTCCCACAGACGGCGCCAAACTGATGCATGCTAGAAAATTCACGGTGGTAGAGTAGTAAATTATTGTCTTAGCATTGTACGCAAGTTCAGCACATACACAAATGAAATAGAAAAAAGCGGTGATGACTCTAGAAGTTTTACGTGGAAAACCCGTAAGAAAAAAATCACGGGGTCTGACCCAGTTGCGAAAATCCACTATTGATTGATGATTACCACAATCCCTCGTCCCATAGACGGGAAAGGTAACTATCTTTTTCAAGGTACAACGTCGACTGACGGCGTATGATTGGTGGTGATTGATGACGGTAGGTGGAGGTTGACGACGGTCAGTGGTGGTTGACGCCGGTCGGCGGAGATTAATGACGATCAGTGGTGGTCGTTGGCAGTCGACGACAGTCAACGGTGATCGATGACTAAGGTCGGCAATGGTCGTCGATGGAGGTCGGCAGTAGTCGACGACGATTGGTAGTGATGTTGAGCTGCAGCTTTTCCTCAAGACCTCAAACTCTCTCTAGTCCTCCTTCCTTTCATGTGAGGGGTGGCGGTCTATTTATAGTGTTCTTGGTGCAATTAATGCAGGAATATCAACCATTTTGATTGGACAATCCGGAGAATTTCATCCAATCATGCTGCATTTAATGGACATTTGAGTGCCTTAACGATGTCAGAATTGAGTGGTCTTGGGCTCGTTGGATTCGTCTTGTCAAGCCGCTCGATTCAAGTATAAACTTGCCAGTTTTGGCATCAGTTTGACCTTCCAAATGTGTTCAAAAATCTTTTAAGAGTGGTTTAATGACTTGATCTGAGCTTGATTTGACTCGGATTGGGCTAGTTTTCATATCATCAGGTCCGTCTCATCGAACCGGTCAGTTTAACTATAATTTTGCTAAAATCGGAGCTCTGGATGAATTTTTATCAAGATTTGAATGTTTCTTACTTAAATATCATCTCGAGATTTGTGTTCGTGTTGGATGATGAAATTTTGTTGGTGGTGTATCAGATACACCTACAATAAAATTTCTATCATCCGACATGAATCTAGAGACAGCTTTTTGAGCAAGAATTGTTTAATCTCTGATTAAAAATCAACTAGAACTCCATCTTAACAAACTTATAATCACACTGATTGGCTCGACGACACGGACTCACGGTATCAAAATTGATCTATCTGAGTTAAATCAAGTTTAAATTGAGCCTTTAGATAACTTTTAGAAATTTCTTGGGCATATTTGAAATGTCAAATGAAATTGAATCAGACAAGCTTATAATCAAATTGAGTGTCTCAATAAGATGAGTCCAACTAGCCCAAGATCATTAAATTCCGACATTAATTAGTACTCAAATGTCCATCAAACACTTTATGATTGAGGAAATCTCTTTGGACCGTCTGATCAAAATAGTTCATATTCTCTAATTAATTGCAAACGAAATTCTATAAATAAAGTCCTACCCCTCTCTTTAAAAAGTGGGAGATAACTTGAAGTCTGAAGAGGACTGAAGCATGGAGAAGGAGTTGAAGTTGCTTCCTACTCCTGCAGTCGTCGACCATCACCGAACACCGTCGATCACCACTTTTTAGCCATTGTCAATCATTATCAATTGTCATCGACTCCTTGCGATGAAGCACCATGCAAAGCAACAACTGACGACGCAGAGTGATGAAGCACCATACAAGGCTAACTCAAACGATAGTGCAACAACGCACTTCAAAGACGATGTAACAGCACAACTTACATAAGCTTGTGCGACCCCCGACTTGGGCCCCCACGACCTATGAAAGTCATTATAACTCACCACTACGACCCATGTCATCAACTACAGCCTAAGCGGTTCACAACTCGTGCAGCTCTCAACTTCAGCCCTCGCGGCTTATTGACGTCATTACAACTCACTTTTATGCTCTACGTGACCAACTACGACCTAATTGGTCAACAACTTGTGCAGCTCCCGACTCCATCCCACGCGACCTATGGACGTCATTACAACTCACCACTACAGTCAACGTGAACAACTACGACCAACGTGGTCCATAGCTTGCGCAGCTCTTGACTCTAGCTCTAAAAACCTACGAACCTGCAACTCGTGTAGCTCCCAACTCTGGCCCTCACGGATTATGGACGTCATTACAACTCACCAATATGACTTACGTGGTCCACAGCTTGTGCATCGCCCAACTTTGGCCGCCACAGCCTAGAGACATAATTAATACTCACCACTCCAACCTATGTGACCAACTACGGCTTACGTTGTTCACAACTGGTGCAACCCCTTACTCCGACCCTTGCGGCCACGAATTTTATTATTACTCACGACTACGACCTACATGACCAACTATGACCTACATGATCCATAGCTAGTACAACTCCTAATTTCGGTCCCTGGAGCCCACAAATGTGATCACAGCACACAACTATGGGCTATAAACCTATGTTGTCCACATGTCCTAGAACTACTTACTACAATCTCTCAACACTCCTGAAACAATCATCTAAGACCCACATGACTAACTATTATCATGGTTATCAACAACTTCTACGAAAAACTGGCGTTACAACCACCATTTACAACACTTACGATGGATTATCACATCTGCAACAATCGACTATGGCCCTTCCAATCTGCTGTCATGAAGAACTATAACTAAATTACTGATATATAACTTTGTAATTTTATCTTTCCTAATTCAAGTGATGAGTGGACCTCTGTACTCATCATTCATTTCAAATGGGTTAAACCCCCTGATTTTTTCCCCTTATCACTAAAAAGTCGAGGTGCCACCTCCCGCTTACTTCTTTTTAATTACCTGAGTGTATCCTAATTTTTCATGCAATGCTAAAACAAGAAATAATCATTCATCTATCTTCGCAAATCTTCTAATAAGTATCAAGAATTGTTTGTCTCCTATGAGCTTAAGTTGATCGTGATTCAAAGTGTTACAAGCAATGGCATTTGAGGTAAGAGTATAAATGAATTTGAAGTTTTAGAATTTTGTTTGGCATTAATCGTCTATATATTATTTTAATTAATTTACATACATACCACACAAATCTTGTGTATGTACATATCCAACATCCAAACATTCATATTTACATGCAAAACACTCCAATCTTTAAAATCACATTAAAAAAAAAATCACTATTATTTATTTTAAAAAACAATACACCTGTTCTAGAAGAAGTTTATCACACCAAAAGGTCGTGCATGTGCATGTGATTATCATGTGGTATGTATGTAAATTTGTCTATTATCTTCACGTAAAAATATCTGAATATCTAAAATAAAAAATTTTCCTTTATAAATTATCCTCAATCAAATGATTTGAATCGCATGACAGAACAAATCGCACAGATTATTCTTCATAAGCAGATGAAGCAGCAGAAATAATGATCCGCATCACAAAAACAAAAGTCATGATTAAGATCTTAAGAAAAGGCCGGGAAAGACAAATAATAGAGAAGAAGATGACCACTTACACAACTGCTTTTCACACAAAATTTCATGAAGCATCAAACATAGCTGACTGAATAGCCTTCTTATCTCAGAAAGTAGATTATAAACGCCTTTTATTTTCCCAAACAATAAGATTCGGGGCATGAATTATACAGTTTGTTACATTCAATAATGATTATTCAGCAGAAGCTGCAGAGAAATGGGGCGTAAAATACAGCTTTGATCGGAGGAATTGGAGTGGCTACAAAATGTCGGTAAAAAACATATGAAGAGCAGCTACTGCTTGAGCTGAAGCTTTTTAATTGATTCAATCTGCTTGGCAGGATTTAATCCCTTTGGACAGGCGTGCACACAGTTCTTTATGGTATGGCACCGATACAGTTTAAATTCATCATTAATGGCATCCAGACGTTCCTTTGTATACTGGTCGCGGCTGTCTTGAATCCATCTGGAACACAATAGATAAAACATATAGACATATATGTGGTTTTAAGATACCATAGACAATCAATGATTAACTTATACTCAACTGATTTTAGGAAGTTTTACATACATACCCTTGAATTTCTATGTATTTTACATATCTAACTCTTAAACGTCACTTTCTACATGCATACCAACTTTCGTATGCATGAAAATGTATACTCTACTTTTTTTAAGTTCAAATGGTGGTATTTTTTATGTGATACGAAAGATTTGGATGATATTAATACATATAAAAAAAAAAAAGTTGAGGTGTTTGACATATCAATACAAAAGAATTCTGTGGTGTGCATGTAAATGCCACTTGATTTTAATGTTATATTCCTCTTTTTTTTTTTGGTTAATGAATAAGGATATAAAACACTGAAGGTTTAGAATGGCAACTTGAAGAAAAAGCCAAGATCAAGCAGACATTTTTCAGTACTGGGATGACTGTTTACGAATTCATCCTTACAAAATTGGGATACACTAATAATTGTTAAATTTAGGGCGAGTGTAATAAATTATTACCTTAAACTTTGAATATATTTCCAATGAACTGTTAATTTTAGTTGGAAACCATTTAGATTTAAATGCAGCATGACCCTACAGCCAGAATTAAATTCTATAAAAATCATATTAGCATAAGAGATAAGCTTCAAACTATAATAACAAACCCACAATTTTCTATCAATATACTTATGCATCACATATATATGAATTGTGAATAATTGCGCAAATGCATTAATTGAATTCTAAAAACAGATCAACAAGAACTATACATTTTCTAAGTTTATATTATCTGTGATGTTAAATGAACTCATTTTGTTGGACTTGTTGCCCGATGAATTGTATGTAAATTCTGAATGTGTGCTCATTTATATGACAACACAATAGATCACTCGAGCTTCCATTAACTCCTTCAGTTTGGCTAAAGTAATGATATCCTAAAATTCGATTGATCACTTCAGTTCGACCAAAAAAAATTTATTGAAGAGAGATGCATCAATAGTTCTATGATAAAATATACAATGAATTATTTTAGAAAAATGACTACTGTTAAAAAAAAGATAGGATTGTTCTTTCTCAATGTTCACAGCAAACCTAACATAAAGTCATATTGAGGTAGGAGCTGAAATTGTTATGTTTTTAGTAGGGTGTCAAACTTCTAATGAAGTATTTTTTTCTTAGTTTTCTATGTTTATTGAGGGCTTGCCTATACAAGACTATCTTATATGTTAGAAGGGGTTCCAGACTTTCTAATTGGAACAATATTTCCCATATACTTCCAGGATAACAAGTATACATATACAATATCCTGATGTGATGATCAGTCGTCTCTCTTCTCAGTTAATACATTCTTTTCTTGGGATTTTCGGTCCAGCTTTCGTCATATCTGAAATTTTCGAAATAGCAGATTTCAGTTTTGTCTTGTTATGTATGGTATCACATATTAATGTCATCCCACAATTTATATGGATTTGAATAGAACTAGAATCCTATTTATATCATCTATAATTAGAAGATTGGCAAGTCCTGCATTGTGAAATAGTACTCTTTACATCTCTTTTCAAATTTGATCATAAATGCATATCCTCAATCATTGTAAGTTTTATCTCTTCCAAAATGAGTAATAACGCCCTCAACATGTTAATCTAAATTCAAAAAATGCTTAATGATAAATCGATAATTAAGACAAATATATTTAAAAAAATCTATCTTTAATTATGTAATCTTTATTAAGCAAAGATGAATCGTTATTTAGGTATTCATAAATTCCACCAAATGCTTAACATAAAACATGCTTCTCTTTCATATGATCAAATCCAGCAACCATAACTTGCATTTTATGTAAAAGATAAAAAATTCTACTCAAAGTATCCATATCAGATCCAACACAATGCTTATAGACGAGAACATTACTGTCAAAATTTCACTCGGCATGTCAACATTCCAACTTCTGAGAATTCAAACATTTCAAAATTTAATAATCAAAATAAAACTACCTAATTGTAGATATTGTCTTCAATATCTTTAAACTTTCACTATATCATAAAATTTTCTATCATAATTTGAATATTTTTGTTTAGCCTCGTTCAATTTAAAAAAAAAAGAATGCAATAGGATGCGAGTCCAAGTTAAAACTTGTCTAATACCAACCTGGATGTCAAACATCCTATTAAAATCAAGTAACTTCCTTATATGTGAATTTTTAAGTTCTCAATTTCAGTAAAAGCCTAAAAAAATATTTAGTCAAGTCATAATAATTCTGAATATCACGCATACTAAAAGATTTTAGCCAATTATTAATCTCTTTAACCTTTATTAGAATCAATAAATAGTCCAACCCTCACACAACAAAATCTAAAAATAAATAAATTCAATTATAAAGCAATACCCTTCATAGTCAAATATAATTTATCAGCTTATAAAACCTCATAAACTTTCCTGAGATGCATCAAATAAGCATCTGTAGTTTTGCAACAAATTAGAATATCATAAAAGAAACAACAAATCTTCCAATGAAATATTACAAGAATAATTTCTTATTCTCATAACAGTATTGAGAGCATTTATTAATCCAAAAAATTTTATCAACTATTCATATGATCTATCTTGACTTTTAAAAGGAGTTTTTCACTCATGTTTGTATCAACTATTCATTGTATACTTTCAATAATTCTAATCTAATGGTATCCACCTCGCAAATTAATTCTTCAAAAATATCACAAAACCATTGATTGTATGTTCATATGTCATCCAATATAGAAAATATATTATTAATGATCTTATATTATGGCCTACTCTCTACACGCATTATCCAACTTAACATCCTTTTTAGGTGCAAGTAAAGCAAGTAGAACACAGGGACTTGAACTTTTCCTAATAAATCATTTTGTATGCAACCCATGAACTTTAAGAACTAAATCAAAAACACAATTTATCCTTTAATGATGATAATTCATTAGGAAGTGCATTAGGGCAAATGACTTTAAAAACATCTAATAATTGTTTAAGATCATCACACAAAATCACAACTTTAATACAATATTCAATTGTTAAAGCATAAATGACACCCCTAGCCTACAAACTTGCACATATGCTTGTTTATTCAAAATGTTTAAAAGCTTTTTTATTAGTTAAGAATACTAGATTCATGTTTACACTGAAATTTACCCGTAGGCTTTATTGGTTTCAAAACCATCTCTCTTTGATTATTCTAAAGATTTTGTTTAAGATCTCCAAAAATAACAACATCATGGTCATAAAATCGAAATGCACCCAAATACCAAGAGCAACACCCATAGACAACACATCATACTGAATTATATCAATATATGCAGCCAATGAAATCAAAACTAGCAAGCTTTAAGACAACACATTATACTAAATTATATCAAGTCTACCTAAATAACAAGAGCAACACCCATAGACAGCACATCATACTAAATTATATCAATATAGGTAGCCAATTAAATCGAAATTAGAGAGCTTTAAGACATGAATATAACAGCTTCAACTATCTAAGCTACTATAAATGATTGGAAATGTTGTTCAAGTTTCGACATAAGATTTTCAAAAAAATTTGAAATAGCATTCACAACCACTGCTGTCAATTATAAGCTTACAAATCTTCTTCCCGTGTTTGAATAGATTTAAAAGACAAAAATTCCCTTCCAATCAGATTGAAACACAGAAGTGGATATGATGCAACACATAACACTCAAAGAGTTATTCAGCAAAAGTATCATTAAATCCCTAAAACTTTCATCAAATCTATGAACATCATCAGATTCATTAACTTTGTTATCATTATCATACAAATTTATACATATATTTTTACTAGAACACATGCAAGTCTATGATCATTACAATGGCACTTAAAATATGTCTTCGCAAAAATTATAGACCAAGATATAGATGCACAGATTTTTCCTTAGTATCCTTATTCATTGTAGTGCTACTGCTTTTAAATGTAGTAGTTGCACTAAACCGAACTTGATAACTTCAAAGAAACAATGCACTATCTAAATATGTTGTAATCGCTTAAACCAAAAAAATTAACATTTTTTCAAAGAAGCGTAGGTTGAAGGACATACTCAAGAGATGGAATGTGACAAAATGCCATCTTCCTCTATATGCCGGTTGTCAAACTAATTTTAAGCCTATGCATTGTGATTTTAAAATCTCCAATGACCTTAAATGGCAAAAAAAATTCTTAAAAACAAAAAAAAAAAAAAACAAGAAAATTTCTTAAATTTTGTTCATGCATTCAATAACAATTTTAGTGCCTTATATTAGAGAATTAAATTCATCAAGTAATTTAGCATGATATGACAAAATCCAAATAATTTTCCTTTAATTTTTTTCCCATTTTCAGCCCAAGCAGTAGTTCCCTTCCTATTGTCTCTCTTTTACCTATCCATGCATCTAATAAATTAAGTTTTCTCAGTTAATTCCATTTTGGCAAACCTTATTTGACATTCATCTAACATATTCTTTCGTTCAAAAAAATTATATGCCTAGGGAATAATCAATAAAAGTTTTAAGATCTCCAACTTGAAAATTTTAATGTTTATGATATTCAAAAGCATATTATTAAACACTTGAATCATCTATCAAGTTGATTTCCCTGATTCTTACTAGAATTAAAATTTTAATGAATTAGATTATTATCATGATTGGAACCTAAGGCAAGTGTATGTGCTTACTCGCTTTTAATTTCTCGGCTCATGTTTAATTCACATAAGACATCATACTTAATAATTCAAACATTTACTTTTAAATAGTTGCTATAATTATAGCCTTCAAAGTTTATTATGTTACCCTGCTAGTTATCCCCACTTCTAAGTAAACTTCACTCGCTGTTAATTTGTCGGCTCGTGTTTAACTCAGATAAGACATCATACTTGATAATTCAAACAATTACTTTTAAATAGTTGTTATAATTACATGCCTTCAAAGTTTATTATGTTACCCTGCTAG